AATATACAAACAAACCTCAACTTATTTGTTTTGTTTACAGCTTTCATTTATTACTTTTTAAAAGGTTCAGGAAATATTTGCTGCAATTGAAACCAGCATTATATTAAACATGTCAACTTTAAAAGAAATGAAAAAAACCAATAATGCCATTCTGTGTTCTAGTATATACTTAGGGTTTCATGTTCTTGGTTTATGTATTGCATTAAAAAAGTATTTTCAGTAAAGTCTATAAGGGTACATATGCTCAACACTTGCAACCCAACCATACAACTCATAAAGCAGGAGTATGAAAATGATTACTTAGTAGTGAACAGTAGTGTTTATAGATATGTACATACATTCTTTTTTTAAAAAAAAATGCATTACATTAAGAGCCATTTTAGCTACCGTAACATACACAATTCTACCAAAAGGGTTTTTAGGGAAATGTAGCTGCACATACTAGATCAGATTAAGATCATTTGTATTTCAGCCATTAAAAATACACTTTTGGGCCCTGCAATCCAAACCCAAACAATTGCCAGCTGTAAAGGTTAGGAACAGGCAAACACCTCTTGTATCAGCTGAATTGACCTTCATCTGGTTCAAATGTCTTAATAGCCCCTTTCTTCAGACCAGCTAGCAGAACTAGATCAGATCTGCTGGCACTCTACTTTGCTGGCTCAGATTATCTGGCAAAACAACCAAAATGAGGACAAGCAGAGCAAAGAAGGGGCATTTCAAGTCAAATCCAGACCTCTTCAATCCAGGGACAAAACCACCTATTCTGGTACAAAGTTAGGCCAGGACCAAAATAGTATTTCCAAACATTTCTAGAGTAAGGGCCTATCTACATGGACTAAATGAGGTAGGCCATCGGTGAATAGACTTTGTGCAATCCACGTGATGCACAAAGTTGACTAAACCCTCACACCTGGCAAGATCATCTAATGCGTCCTTGCCCCATGTTACTCAAAGTCAGGGGATGTCCCAAAGCTCACCCACATTTTGGGCATGTGTAAAGAGTTAGGTAGGTTTCACTTCGGAACAGATTGCAATTGTTTACACAGCTATCCTGCTCTTCCCAAGCTTGGCAGCCTGGGGAGAGTCCTTCCACAGCATGCAGAGTCCTTCCTGCCACTGGGATGGCTCTGTGCTATGGACACTTTTCTGCTGCTGAGCCAGCTCAGAGGCTAGCTGTGAAGAATCCCCTCAAGTTGATCTAGGGTACCTGACTCCAGATCTGCTCTGGCACATGGGGTCCATGGAGATGTGTCCTGAGAGGGTTTTGGATTTAACACAGCTTCAATTGGTCTATTATCCACTTAGCTACTTCTCAGCTATTTTGACATGAAAGAGAATTGTGAGCTTATCAGTGTCGATGAAAATTACTTCCAAGTAATGCTGCTTTTTGGAAATAATCCTAAGCATACACCACAGAAGTTAATATCTCATCAGTTTAAGTAGAAGTTACACTGATGTAAATGTGATTGGGTCTGTGATCTTAAGCTACCATAACCATAAGATATAGTCTTATTCTGATTGAGTAGAACAGCATTCAGTTTTCTTTTGACTTGCCTGAAATGAATTGCTATCAAAAGAGCAAGATATCAATCCATATGATTATATTAAACATCACAGTCTTTTAAAAGAATTGATCTCTCAGCGCCTGATGGTTCAGGCCTAGGACCTAACTTCCAATTGCATGCAAACACAAACTAACAAAAGCTTCGTGTTTCTTCTTGGTCACTTTGTTGCTCCTGATTGCACTTCATCCCTTCCCTCCCTGTGTATTGTATATGGTGAAAGGCAAACACAGATTTGGAAATTTGCAGAATGGGAGATTGAGAATTAAGAAGTGATGAGTGAGAAATGAACCAAGCACAATTTTTTTCACTCCAAATCCCCTCCTACTCTGCAAGGTTTCAAACATGTTTTGCCTCTCCAAATAACGTGATAGGCTAATGGCGGGAAAGTGGTGGAAGAAGGGGTTTCCCCTCCTGCCTCTCTTCCTCTCAAAACCTCCCTCCCTGTTTGGGACCTAGAACAAGGCTGGCTGTACACTGTATAATTAATGCAGTTTGACACTGCTTTAACCACCATGGCTCAATGCTTCGGAATTCTGAGATTTGTAGCTTGGTGAGGAGCTGTCACTTTTTGGCAGAAAAGGCTTGTAAATCTACAGCCCCCAGGATTCCATAGCATTGAGCCATGGCAGTTAAACTGGTGTCTAGCTGCATTAATTATGCACTGTTGATGCACCCCCAAACAGCAACCAAGTGTTTGCTACATGGGCTTATGTGCAGTAGTGCAGGTAACCCCTGGCTCTGAACAATCAACCAACTGATGCAGATAAATGGCTGCTTTACAGTACTCTCTTATGAGCAACAATTTATGGACTCTGCTGCTCCAGCCAGCATAAAAAGTTCTTGGCACACGATGTATTGCTTCCCTAATCACATTACGAATGAATGGAACACACACAAAGAAGTATGTGCGCAACTCATCAAATAGATCCATACCCTAAGAATGTTACTTTTTTGGATTGCAACTTCCCCCCAAAAGTCTTCTGGGAGTTGCAGTAAAAAAAAAAGAAGCTTTTCCAAGACCTTCAGCACTGAGCAATCCACAGCGGAACTTTCCATTGGGCATAACAGGTGCATGGTTCAAGGGGGCCTGTCTGGGAACACACCTAGAGCTGCTACCCAACAGAGCTGTTCCTCCACCCAAGGTCTTATACTGATGGGATTACTAAAAACGCATATTCTGTAAGATAGGCATCACAAGCTAAAAAGGGGAAAACAGACTTCTGTGTGACAAACACATCTGAGGATCTTACAATGAATTGTTACATACATCGCCTGCAGTATATTTTAAGTATGTTTTAATTTGTTCATTGTATGTTTTATTGTTGATATTGTGTGTTTCATATGTTGTAAACCACTTTGGTTTGGTGCAGCATGTTAAACTGCTGATCTGATTACCTTGCTGATCAAAAGGTCAGCGATTCGAATTCAGGGAGCATGGTGAGCTTCCACTGTTAAGCCCAGCTTCTGCCGACCTAGCAGTTCGAAAACATGCAAACGTGAGTAGATCAATAGGCACCACTCTGGCGAGAAGGTAATGGCACTTCTTGCAGTCATGCTGGCCACATGACCTAGGAGATGCCTACAGACAATGCTGCCTCTTCAACTTAGAAATGGAGATGAGCATTACCCCCCAGAGCTGGACACAACTAGACTTAATGTCAAGGGGAAATCTTTATCTTTTCAACCGCTTTGGGTCCAGCCGCAGAGAAAGGCAGAGGGAGAAATATCTTAAACAAACAAATAAATGCTACAAACTCTTTCCTAGAAGTTTAGTGAACCCTTGGTATCTACTGGGGTTTGGTTCCATGGATAACAAAATCTGTGGATGCTCAAGTCCCATTATGTACAATGGCACAGTAAGAGGGTGTCCCTGCACAAAATGGCAAAATCAACATTTGCTTTTGGGAATTTTAAAGAAATGTATGGTTTAATCTGTGAATGCAGAATCTGTGGATACAGAGGGCTGGCTGCATCCTCCACTGAACCTAACAGAAATGACTCCCAAGTATGAGCATGCCTATTGCAGTTATCCGTTTGCTTGTTAATTTGGTGGCATTACCTATACCCCAGTAGTGCAGTAGGTTAAACCACTGAGCTGCTGAACTTGCTGACTGAAAGGTTGGTAGTTTGAATCTGGGGAGCGGAGTGAGCTCCTATTTTTAGCCCCAGCTCCTGCCAACCTACATTTCAAAAACATGCAAATGTGAGTAGATCAATAGCAATCACTCTGGTAGGAAAGTAATGGTATTCCATGCAGTCATGTTGGCCACATAACCTTGGAGGTGTCTATGGACAATGCTGGCTCTTCAGCTTAGAAATGGAGATGAGCACCACTCCCCAGAGTAAGACACAACTGGACTTAAATGTCAGGGGGAAACTTTTACCTTTACCTATACCCTATCTTATAGGGACTCAGGGAGACTTAGGGTTTAAAACAAGCAAACTCTAGCGACGCCTGGGTGCATATAGACTGTACCACGAAGGAAGTTCAAAACCACTTTAAATGCCATGGCCCAGTGCTATGGAAACCTGGGTGTTGCAAGTTGAGAAGGCTCTGGCGCTTTTTGGTGGAGAAGACTCCAGAACAAGCATGGGAAAACTTTGGTCCTCCAGGTGTTTTGGACTTCACCTCCCAGAAATCCCAGCCAGCTTACCAGCTGTTAGGAATTGTGGGAGTTGAAGCCTAAAACACCAGAAGGGCCGAAGTTTGCCCATGCCTGCTCCAGACCTTGTAAAATGATTCCACAGCATTGGGTTCCTGGCAGTCCAAGTCCTGTCAAACTGCATTTATCCTCTCTGTCTTTGTGTGTGTGTCTCTCTAGTAATTTTATTGAAGGGGAGGGAGTCGTGATAGTAGAATAAATCAAGAGTGTCAAATGCCTTTCCACGGAAGGCCACAACTGCCTTACGGTTGCCTTCAAAGGGTTGCTTGCAACTGCAAGACTGTACACATGGAACTATGTTGACCTCTTATTGGAAGCCTCGTGGACCAAATACCAATGATGCTCGGTCCTTGGCCTTGCGTTGGATGCGCCTGGCACAACAAAGTACCAAGTTAGACGTGTTTTAGAAGTGCACCAAAGCAGCAACTTTGAGCTGTCATGCGATGGAGAGAAGGTGTGCGAGGTTGGGCAGGACAACCCGAAGAGCCGAGGCGGGTTGCTTCGTGTGGGGAAGGGAGGAGGAGGAGGAGGAAGAGCCGCCTGCTTGCCGGGGCCGGGCTCGTGGGAAGCGGACTGCAGCCCCCAGCATCCCCGGCAGGATGCAAAGCGCCCTGGGTGGGAGGGAGCCCACTCCTGCGAGAGATGGTGCCCGCTGCCTTTCCTTCCCCTCCCCTCCTCTCTTCCTACTCTGACTCCGAAGGGCTCCCCTCCCCCTTTCCCCTTTCCCCTTCCCCCCCCCCCCCCCCCCCCCCCCCCCCCGCTGACTCACACGGTGAAGTGGTAGACGAAGCACTTCCACCCGGTGGGTCTCTCGAGGAAGTTGTAGACCCGTCCTTGGATGTGGCTGCGGCTGAGGAGCGGGCGCCGGGCGCTGTAGATGGAGACGCGCGGGTCCAGGTTGACCGAGGGGCGCGGGAAGTCGGCGCTCATCACCACCCGCGCCGCCACCGCCTCCTCTTCGCCTGATCCTCCTCCTCCTCCGCCAGGCGGGCTGCGCGGGGCCGGGGGGCCGGGCGCCGAGAGCGAGAAAGGCGCGTAGCGGGCGTCGGGGGCGTTCTCGGCCAGCTCCAGCGCCGAGGGCTTGAGGCTGCCTTTCTTGGAGAGGACCGAGAAGCGCTCCAGGGTCCAGCGGCGCCGCTCCGCCTTCGCGGGGGAAGGCGAAGGCGAAGGCGAAGGCGAAGGCGGCGGGGAAGCAGGCATCGCGGCCAGGCCAGGCGGGGGCAGCGCGGCTCTCCTTCACTCTGGCCTTTCTCGCCGCCTGCCCGAGAGCCCTTCTTGGCCCGGCCCACTCAAGGGGAGGGAGGGAGGGAGGCTCCCCGGGGAAGGAAGGGCCCCGCTCTCCGCCCCGATGCCTCCTGCCCGTCGCCACCCAAGGAGCCCCGGCGCGGACTGCCGAGGAAGGAGACCGGCCCTCCTTTTCTTTTCTTTTCTTTTCTTTTCTTTTCTTTTCTTTCTCCTCTCCCTTCCCTTCCCTTCCCCTCCTTTCCTTCCTTCCTTCCTTTCTCCTTCCTTCCCTTCTTTCTTTCTTTCTTTCTTTCTTTCTTTCCTTCCTTTCTTTCCCTTTCTTCCTCCTTCCTCTTTTCCTTTTTCCTCTCTCTCCTTCCTCCCTCCTTCCCTCTTCCCTTCCTTCCTTCTTCCTTCCTTTTCTTTCTTTCCTTCCTTCCCTCCCTCCCTCCCTCTTTCCTTCCTTCCTTCTTTCTCCTCCCTCCCTCTCCTTCCTCTTTCTTTCTTTCTTTCTTTCTTTCTTTCTTTCTTTCTTTCTTTCTTTCCTTTTTTTTTTTGCTGCATTCACCACATTTATATGAGGGCTTAACTGTGTTTTATATCTGTACACTTTTGAGTTCTTTCTTTCTTTCTTTCTTTCTTTCCTTTCTTCCTCCTTTCCTTCTTCCTCCCTCCCTCCCTCGCTCTTCCTTTCTTTCCTTTCCTTTCCTTTCTTCCTCCTTTCCTTCTCCCTCCCTCCTTCCTTCTTTCCCTGACAAGGCTCTGGTGCTTGGCACAACTGGGCAGCAAGTTCACAGACAGCAGGTGCTCTGAAGGCTGCTGTGGCCTTCTTGGTGTTATTGCGACTCTCCCTTGCTGCCCCCGGACCCTGGCAGGCTACTGGAGCACAGGCCACCTATTTCAATGCAGCCTGAGCCCTGCCACATGCACAGCGGAGGACCTTCTTATAGGAATACCAGAGGCACTCCAAGTGGCCCACTATTGGTCAAAGGACATTTAGTATCATGACAAGTTTTTAAACTTTGTGTTTTTTAAATACATTACCTCTGTACCCTTGGTTCGCTCCTGATAGGATAAATGAATTGGAAGTCCTCAATAGTGACCATGAATACATTTCTGCTGACACAACTGACATTGAAACATCATATTTGAAAAACTTTTGTATAAATGCAACAATTCCAAATACTATATATCTTATACCAGTAGTTCCCAACCTGTGGTCTGTGGACCACCAAGAACGAAAATATGGTCTCTGGCTTCACCATTACTACACCGTTGCCTCAAAACCCTGCAGCAACAAGAGCAACTGGTCTTGCGAAACCCTCTTATAATGTCAAGGCAATGGGAATTTGGGAGGGGAGAGGCTGACTGCCCACAAAAGATTACTACTACCACATCAGCTCTAGATTATTCACTATGGTTTTCTGTGGGCGAGCAGATGGTGACTACTGGATGGCCTAAGTTCTGTATCAGAAACTAGAGCTCATGTAGCCTATCCAATGCAGTTTTCTGAATCAGCACCCCAAATAACCAAACCAAATCTAAAGTTGACCAAAGATTGATTCGTAACCCTGTTGATACTAATGTTGCAGAGTCGTCCCTGGTCAATGGTCCCTTGTCAAAAAAAAGTTGTGAACCACTGACTTATACCATATTTACTCGAGTCTAATGCACCATCAGATCTAATGCACACTTCCATTTTCAAAACCCTGAAATAAAAAAGGGGGGGGATTATTTGCTGCCAAAGGTCATGTGCAGCAGCAAAAAGTGCTCTCTTTGTCATTTACCCCTTACAGTTGGTGCCTACTTAGAATTCTCCTTTAGAACACCAAAACTTCCAGCAATGAAAAGGAAACCTTGGGATGCTACATTCTCTGCTGCAGGATGAATGCACTTTAATTGTCTTGGTTCAATGCCATGGAGTCATGGGGTGGGCGTGAAGTTTTTCAAGTCTTGAGCCTTCTCTGCCAAAGAATGCAGGTGCCTCGCCAAACTACAAATCCCAGGATGGCAAAACATTGAGTCTGAGTTTGGCCATTAAATTTGAGATATAAATTTCAAATAGTGAAGCAGCTTCACCTTTGGCTTTGGCTCAGCATAGAATCATAGAATCAAAGAGTTGGAAGAGACCTCATGGGCCATCCAGTCCAACCCCCTGCCAAGAAGCAGGAATAGCACCAAGATTACAGTATGATGCGAATCTCATGCACACCCTAACTTTGACCAGGTCATTTAGACAAAAAAGGTGAGCATTAGATTTGAGTAAATAGGGTGTATAGTACTACACGATTTGTGGTCCAATATGTAAGAGAAATATATATATTATTTCTGTTTCCATTATTTAGCCATCATTTTCTGGTGTATATAAGATCTCTTTTAAAGTACACCAGGCCCTTGGTGCCCCCCCCCCCCCCGAGGCACAGCATGTTAAACCGCTGAGCCACTGAACTTGCTGACAAAAAGGTTGGTGGTTCAAATCCGGGGAGCAGGGTGAGCTCCTGCTGTTAGTCCCAGCTTCTGCCAACCTAGCAGTTCAAAAACATGCAAATGTGAGTAGATCACTAGGTACCTCTCCGGTGAGAAGGTAATAGTGCTCCATGCTGTCATGCTGGCCACATGACCTTGGAGGTGTCTATGGACAACGCTGGCTCTTTGGCTTAGAAAAAGAGATGAGCACCACCCCCCAGAGTCAGACATGACTAGACTTAATGTCAGGGGAAACATTTACCATTACCTTTTAGGCCCTTGGTATGTCTGATCACCATCTCCCAAAGCAATTACGTTATTCTCAACTTAAGAATGGAAAACAGAATGTTGGTGGACAGCAAAAGAGATGTAAAGATCAGCTTAAAGCTAAACTAAATGTGGTATAAACACAGAGAATTGGGAAACCCTGGCCCTCAATACAGGACAAAAAGAAGAGAAGTGTCAAGCAAATCCTTCTCATGATCACCTTCTATCTGAACATCTGTGTCCTCATCGTGAAATACCACGTGGATCCAGAATAGGTCTTCACAGTCACTGTCAAGGCTCTCTCTCTGGAAGACAATCATACTCAGCCACAACACATTGCACATTATGACATGATTTGAAGTATGATCATATATACTAGAAAAGTGTATATTATTTCCATTATTTAGTTACCATTTAAAGTAGAGTGGGCCCTTGGTACCTGTTGGAGTTTGGTTCCAGCCTCCATCTCCCCACCCGCTGAACATACACCTGGATAACAAAATCAGTGAATATTAAGGTCCCATTATATACACTTATATAAAATAGCAAAATCAAGGGTTGCTTTCTGGAAATTCATTTTAATACTTTCAATCCATAAATACAGTAGTTCCATGGTTTGGAATGGTCATCATGCCAGGAAAGGTTACTTAGTTAAGTAAACTTTATTGAGGAGCTGATACAAGATTGCAGTCAAAGTAGCTGTATCTATGTATGATTGAGGAGAAATAAAACTTGCATTATTATTGATATAACCAAAAAACTGAAACAATTCTGTTTTAAATTTTACTTGGTAACTGCTTTGGGAAACAGGCATTCAGACAACATGGCTGCTCCAGTGAAATTGATTGTGGAGAAGGAACTGTTACAGATGAGTAAATCTAGATAACTGTTTCGTATTTACAGTCACTCTTTAGTCATGACTGTGACACTATTGATCAGGGATTGTTTAAAAACTGTGCAGAACAGACAAATTGAATGTGTCTCTCCCCCAAACACACACTCCAACCTATTTTACCTGACATCAGCTGCATAGGAAGAAGAAGACCCATTCTGCATGGGTGAATATGGTTTGGAATGGTGGTCATGCCAGGAAAGGTTAGTTAAGTAAACTTTATTAAGTAGCTGATACAAGATTGTAGTCACATTAATTATCTTTGGTGGTGTAATCATTTCGTTTTCTCCTTAGTCATAGCCTTTCCCAACCTGCACCCTCCAGAGGGACAGGTATCCATCATCCCCATCCAGCACAACCAAGAACTATGCTGGTTGAGACAAAAGGAATTGTAATCTCATTGTTTTTTTCCTGTCTGAAAAAATAATATTCAATTTGTCTGTTCTGCACAGTTTAAACAATCCCTGGTCAAATCACATTTAATATCCTATATACTTATGTGTAAGTCTAAAAATATGAGTCAAAAATCAACTCTAAAAAACTAGTCCAGATATCCATGGGTCAATGTGACTGTATCTTAACTGATAAAAAAGGAACCATCCTCTTCTCTGAGTAGTAATAAAAGGCAAGAGCGTAGTCCATCTTGAGAGAACCTAAAAGGAGCATCAGCTTTCTTTGCTATGGCACTGTTTCTGGCTTCTCTGAAGGTCTGGGCAGAGAAATTGTGGTTTTGGTGGCTTAAGAAGTTTGATCTCCCAAGGCAGCATTAGTGCTTTCCCCTCTTCTTGGAATAACCCTCTACTTATCCACAAGTCATATCAAAATCCACACTTTTGGCTCCAAAACCTGCCTTCAGGTTACACATAAAGCCAACTTATATATAAGTATATACAATTCTTGTTATATAGGTAACATTTGATATATATAATCACAGCTTCATGTTAATAGGACCAAGTTGGAGCAATCATCCTGAGAGAGAACTGGCATGATCTGGGGAAAAGAGTAAAGAAAGAGAGAAGCAAAGAAACCAGCGAGGAACCAAGAAGCATCTTTCTACTGTGAAGGGAACTTATCATCTTTACTAGTGAGATACCAAATTTCCCCTCATGCCTTGGGCTTAAGAAATATCATACCAGATATTAACTTCCTATAGTCTTTAACCTGAAACCAGTGTTCTTACTCATTGGTGGTTGCAGGTAAGCACTACTTATCCACTTGCTGAACTACTCATAAGTAATCTGTGTCAAAAGTAGATTGGCACAACCTACATGCTAGTTACTAATCTTGTAAGTATTATTCAACTTGGGAGGTTGAAACACTTGCAAGCAGTGGCTGTGCCACTGATTATAACACCTACCTTTTCTATCTGAGGATGCTTTCTTCTG